GATTAGGACAGTGCACATTGCAAATGCCATGAACAAATGTTTGTTAAGTAAGTAAAATAAGGCCCAGAGAGATCAAGTGATTTGCATGCAACTCATCAGTTCCTAGATGGTGTAGAATCAGTCCTATCCTTCAGCAATGATCATTCTGATTTTCTACTAGGTCCTTAGACCTTCCCTAGAGTGTGGGTTTCTCAGAAATATTGTAGGGACCTGTAAGTAAGAAACATAATAGGATTTGAAATCAACCACTAGGATTTAAGTTCTAGTATTTGCTGACAGCTATCCCTGTTTCCTCATCTATGGAAATATAATGATCATAACAAACCAACCCACAGATATGTGAGAGGCTCAGATGAGATAAGTACTTTGAAAACCGTAATCTACTCTGCAGATGTTATTTAACATGATTATTATGAGGTCCTATCAGCTGAGAAAAGCCATGAGACTATTTCAGACCAGCTTAGAATATCAAGAAGTTGAAGGAAGGAAAGTTCTCAATACTCTTCATTTTTTCACTCCCCTTTACTCACTGTTTTCTTTTAAAATTTGTATCTACCTATTCCACATCTACAGATTCAATCAACCTTAGATACCACATAGTTAGGGCTACCATGTTTGTGTCTATACTGACATGTGCAGTTGTTATTCCTAATAAATACAATATAGCTGTTTATGAAACATCTACATTGTATTTGGTATTTTAAGTAATCTCAGGTAATTTAAAGTATAAGAGGATTTGCATAGGTTATATGCAAACATTATGCCATTTTATATAAAGGACTTGTATATCCTTGGATTTTGTTATCTGTGAGGATGGAGAGTTAGGGGCAGAGGGTCCTGGAAACCAATCCCCCATGGATACCAAGAGACAACTGTATTCATATAGACAAAAGAATTGTGTACCATATATATGTATGTATGGAGGGTATGTATATATGAAAAATAAAACAAATACTGATTTTGTGCCCTCAGACTTAAAAAAGAATATTGCCAATGCCTTTGAAATCCCCTGTGCGTCCCATCCCAGTCATCTCCCTCAAAAAATGGGTGAACAATGATTGTGCACTGTTTGCATGTCTCCCCTTGTCTTTAGTTGTACTGCACATGTGTACTTGCACTGGGTGAGGTTTTGGCGCTCAAGTTATGTGGCATCACCATATCCTTATACTATCCACTTTATTCTTTTTCCAGCTGAGTGGCAGGAAGACCCCTGCCAGTAAAACACATTGCTTCTGTTATTCAAAAGACCTTGTAAAGAGAGACTTTAGAAAAGGATCAGTTGTAATGTTTACCTGAGCAAAGAGTGAGTGTCAATGACTACAAGGAGAAAAAGAGGAGGCAGATTAGAATGTCAGGGTAGGGAGTTTCGGCTTTTCTTACAGGTCTTTGGGAAGCAATGATTTGAAGAAGGTAGTGACAGCTGTTAATTGCTGCCAGGAAGGTGAGATGGGAAACTAGAAAGAAGTGAGAAAACACCTAGGCTGGGCAGGGATGTAGGTGTGGCTAGGGGATGTCCAGGGCGACATTGGGACGTACGTAGCAACTGGATGCGTGTGGGAAATGCTAGAGAAAGAGGAGTTGGCACTGACTGAAAGATCAAAGGTACCTGAATGGAAATGTTCATGATAGAGCTGAGAGCCAAGCTCATTTGAAAAGAATAAAATGCCACAGGTCATCTCTATGCCATTGTCCAAAAAATAATGATTAATTCAAGCCTTTCTCTCAGGAAAGGAATCAAGGATGCACAAAGCTACATTTAATACTTTAAAGAGTTGTAGGTTTTTTTGCATATTAAATGTTATCTTTTGTTAAATGACTCCATCTGCGAGTTACAACTTCCCTGACTTTCAGTTTGTCATGCATAAAATGAGTGACTGGAGTAGGATGGTCTCTAAGGCCCTTTTGATTTTTGTGATTGTGCAATTCTCGGAACATTGCCCAGAATAGTAAACAGTAGCAAATGAAATTTGTGAGCTTGAGAAACAGAGAACAAAATTCTAATGCCTGTTCCAGTGTGAACTGGGCACAGTGGTCACACCCTTGGCTCCTCAGAGTCTCTTCCTTCTGAAAACTGAGTGTGATAAAATGTCACAGGGCTGCTGTGGATCTGGCTGTACATGAAAATGCCCGACTCAGTGCCTGGCATGTTGTAGGGACAGGGTAAAGATTGATTTCCTCCCTCCCTTCCTTCCTCCCTTCTTCCTCTCTTTGTTACTAGTGTTAGTCTGGCTCCCCAACTGGTGCTGGGGTGAAACCTCTTCTGTAGACTCTATTGAGGTGCCCCAAAACAACAACTGTACCAGCGAAATGATTTCCACGAGTCTTTCGCAAAGGCACAAGACCCCAAAGCACAAGACCTGTCTTTGAGCAAAGCACAAGTGGCCGGGACCCCTGGCAGCGGGTCTGTAGTTTCCCTTCCAGCTGGACACAGTCTCATCCCAAATGTCACAACCAGGAACTGTGTAGTGTGAGAAGAATCCACCCCATTTCCTCTGCACAAATGAGCAGCAAACACATTTGCTCATTATCTTTAAGGGACACACAGAGTCAAACTGAGACTTAGTCCTATTTACCCAGCGCTTTACCTTTGTAATGCTGAGATCTGAAACCAAAGCTCCCTAATAGTTAAAGTTCTACTATTTAAATACAGCCTGAACTCTCTAAACCAGCTCCTGCCACCCTGACCCCACTCATTGAGTTTATCACCATCCTCAGAAGGAAAAGATAAGGAGTAGTCCTTTCTCCTGCTGTGAGTACTGGAATGTTCCTTTTTCCTGAAAACTAGTGCCCCCATTTATCTCCTGCAGATCTCAACTACGGAAAGATAGAAAAAGTTTGGGATCCCTGGCTTATGAAATTTGAATGCTACTTTAACTTGACATCATGTTTGGTTTTTGGCTTCCAATTGCACAATTTTTCAAGATCAAGGAGTCCTTGTTGATCTTATTCCAACGTTGTGCAATGTTTCTATACTGAGGAATTTGTCTGGGGGGAGAATATAGTGATAATCCTGTTGGCCCAGGAGGAGGTACCATGTAGAGACCTTACTGTCTCCTGAAGGAGAATCCTTGAAGTGCACTATATATATATATATATATATATATATATATATATATATATATGTGTGTGTGTATGTATGTATGTATGTATAGGTCATTTGAAATTTGTAGTTACTTTTCTAGGCACCTAAGATACATTAGAGGAAAAAACTGAGAAAGTGATGCCCTCTCTTAAACCTACATTTTAGTGGAGTAAGACAATAAATGAAAAATAAATCAGATAATGATAAAGCATGGTCTAAATACAGAATACCACAGAGCTATCAATAAGCACTTTCATATAGATGACCTTGGGACTATCGGCAAGGAAGCTGAATGCTCGAGGGAACATTAAAGGCATTTTCTGGTGAATCCTTAGGTGACTGTGGTAGGTTCATGACAGGTGGCAGTTTGTCTAGCAAAGAGACACATAAAGTGCTTCTCCTTCACAACCACGTGGATTTCCTCATGCAGCTAAAGGATCATTCGTGGCTGAGGGACATTTTACAGCTTTTTCATGTGAAAGGCTTCTCTTCTTCATGAATCCTCTTAGGCACTAATAGTTCTGATACCTGAAAGAAGCCCTTGCAGTGCACAGTATAAATGTTACGTTAACTCTGATGCGGGGTTCTATATACATGCTCACAAATGAGGAAACAGATACAAAGAGCTGAAGTTGTGTATTGTTCCCCTATCTCCTACTTTTAAAAAAAGATCAGCAGCTTCCTACAGATTTGCAGACACTCAGATTCATCCCACTTCCATTCTACTCACACTGTGAGGCAAGGCAGACCACAAGGCAAGCTGGATAGGCAGATGGACTTTATCTGTGGTTCCTTTGCAGATGCATTAATTTTTCAGCAAGCTGTTATTGGATACCTACTGTGTGTTGTGCACAATATAGCGTGTTTAGAAGATGAGACAACTCCTGTCCAAAGTTGGCAGAATGTTGCTAATAGTTTACAAAGGCTATTCCACACAGAACAAATTGTTTTATAATCCAATGAATTCATTTTATCTCCACCCTCACAGAACTGCAGGTCAAATATGAGGCTTTAAAGTTTCCAGAAAACAGAGGGAAAAAAGTAAGAACAAGCCAGCAAAGGAACAAAATAACCGCATAAGCTTCTTTCAGTTCTCCAAATATGCCATGTATCCTCCCATCACAGGCTCTTAGCTGGTTACTTGAGGCATTTTATATACAGCTTTCACCATAATAATGACAACTACCTTAAGTGGTGCTCTCTGCTGCTGATTTTATTGTAAGATTTCTGTAAACTAATTCTTTTCATCTTTACAACTCTGTAAAGTACATACATTTATATAGTTCTCTCTTGCTGATGGGGAGGAGGGCTGAGACAGAAGGAGCATGAATTTCATAAACACTTAATTTCATAAACACTGAGTTACACAAAGTGAATAACCATTAGGGACCAAGATTCAATGTAGGTCTTGGATCTGCTTGAATCTGATGTGCTCGTCTGTCTCCCCATGACTTATCTATCAGTCACTACTCAATACCACCTCACTGCACACAAAGGTATACATTTAAAAGTATAATGTCCTGGTATGACTCTAACATTTATATTATCACTCTTGAAATTCATCTCATTGGACTTGTCTGCTAGGAGGATTACCTTTATGTCAAGGGTGGAGATATTTATAGTTTTGTTTTAGTTAATAGAGCCAAGAAAGTTTAATCTTTATTTATGCACATATTGAACTATAGTATAAACTGGGATCAGAAAGTTACCCCCAGTTTAAGATCTATATCTACAGAGAACAATGCCTAGCAATAATAAAACCGTATTGGTCACTAGGAATATCACTGCCTATCTGGGCCTGTTAGCACAGTTATTTTGCCACTCCCCTCCAAGCCCTGAAAAAGATACACTGAAAAGATTCTGACCAGCTTGCTCACATCTGGACTCACAGTAATACTCTGACCATATTTTATTCCAGACACTTTTGAGAAATTCATCAGGCTGTGAAGCGCGCAGTGATGAATACCGAACGGAGTTTACCACAGCTTTGCAACGTGTTGACTTATTCATGGGCCAATTCAACCAAATCCTCCTAACATCTATTTCCACCTTCATTAAAGGAGACCTCACCATCGCTAATCTTGGGACATCAGAGGGTCGCTTCATTCAGGTAAATGCTGTCTGGGAGTGACTATGTTTGTTTTATCTGGTATTATGCAGTTCATTTGTTTTTGTTCTTGCATTGAAATGTTTGCAAATATTATAAAGTGAAAATCACAGTAGAAACTAGAGACACAGACTGAAAGCAGAACAATGAAGCCTGGTCCACTTTTTATAAAGAGCATGGCCTATTTTTGTTAAAGTCTTGAAGCTTTCAGTTTAAATGTGGTTGCTTTAATTTTCTTGCCCAGAACAGTTTGGGTTTTGTTTGGGTTTTTTTTTTTTCCCCCATTCATGATTTCTATTACATAATTAGAAAATAAAGTGAAACAATTCAAGCACTTCCAGAAGACGTTTTCCTGTTTCAAGGGAAGCTAAGGATCAAAGGACAGTTATTGTGTGAGCTGAGTATCTCCATGAGAAGAAACTTTCACATCATTGAGAAGTATTGGCAGGAGTTAGGAAGGGTTATTATCATCAAAATCCCACTGTAATTCCTCCAACCTTCCTGATTCTGCAAAATGGTGGGGTCAGACACAAAGAAGTTCAAATACTGAAAAATTCTGTATTTTTACCAAGAAATACTTTAATGGGTAGCAGTTCACACTTCAGACTTGATCTGAGATACTGTGTTTCCTAGATACAAGAATCATAGCACTTTGCGGAAATTAAAATGTTCTTATGTTGGCTGTTTTATTGCTTTAGTACTTGTTGGGTAGTGTTTTTAACATGAGTTCATTGGTGGATTCTTGATTAATGCAGAGCAACGATAGCATCTATGGAATGTTAGATTTCACAAATACTAGAAATGTCTTTTAAAGAGAGATGCTAATTTCATAATCATCTGATCTAATTAACATCCTAGTCAGACAATGATTTCCAGTAAACCAATTGAGAACGATGATGTTTTCCTATGACTTGCCCATCTGCACATCCTCTGTATTCTTTTACAAAACGTATTTTTTAAAATTACCACTGTCTTTATAGTAGTTTGAATAGTGGTCATTGCCATATTTTTAAAATTATAAATCATGCTTTTCTTGCACTACTGGGCATGGTGGAATTTTTTCAGTCATAAAGCATGTAAATAAAACCTTCCTAGCTCAAAACTATGATCATATAGATCCTGTCATCTAAATGTTCCCACACTTAATCTCTCCTGCCTCACAGTTAACTACACTTTTTCTATACCTCTTCCCTCTTTCCCAGCCCAGTGTTCTTATTTACCCACCCCATTTAATTCTTTTTATATATGTTTTTAAGATTTATTTATTTTTTAATTTATACAAGAACGGGGTACAGGCCAGATGCGTGGGAGGGTGAGAGGATTCACCAGACAGAGCGGGGAACAGAACAGGCAGACTGATGAAATACACTGCTGAGGGGAGCAGTGGGCACTACAGGAGAGGTTTGCAGCGCCTTGTGGGACACTCGCCCGCCAGTCAGGATCGAACCGCACTGCAGAGGCCACAGACAGCTTCACAGCATGGTGCTCAACCACCTGCGCCACCAGGGGAGACCCTATGTATATTTTTAAGATTTATTAATGCATACAAGAACTAGGGTACAGGCCAGAAGTGTGGGGGGTGAGAGGATTCACCAGAGACAGAGTGGGGAACAGAACAGGTGGATCGACTGAAGTACACTGCTGAGGGGAGCAGCGGGTGAGACAGGAGAGGTCTGCCTCGCCATGTGGGTTGCTCCCTGGCCAGGGTTCGAACTCATGCTGCAGTGGCTGAGGACAGCTTTATATGTTGCATTTTAATACCTTGCGCCACCAGGGAGACCCCACCCCATTTAATTCTGTCCTTAACTTCTCAAAATCAAGGGGAGGAACACCCAGCACCCCCCCCCCCACACACACACACACACGAGACAGGTACTGGAACATATTTGAAGTATGATGGTATCTGTTATCCTTGTTAAATGTGTAGTATTGTGTTGTGTTTAGATGTCTTTTTAATTTATATTGATGTTACTCTATAGAATTACAAAAGTTTTGAAAGATGAGAGATGCTAGCTTCTATTAAATTCCTAATGTGCTATTTTGATTTGCTTTCCCTTTATCTTTATTTTTATTTGTTTTTTTCAAAACCATCTATTACCTCACCAATCCAGTTTCATATTAATAAGCTTTCTATAGTTGCTTTAGTTCTGACAGTTTTTGATATCAAAGGGTTCCTGGCCTACTTTCAGACTCTAAAGTCTAATAAAACCCCTGTATTTAAATAGATTCCCTATTATCTGTCTGACTATTGAGTAAGTTCTACCTGTGGCAGATCCCAACACCCATTGGTGAGAGGTCATGCATCATTCCATTATAACAAAAATGCTGTGGCAAATGTTTTATTCTTGTCTTCCAACATTTCCATAAAAGGAGCTATGTTATGCCCATTACCTGTGCATCCAAACATAAAGATGAAAATAAGTAGATGTTTACTTTAGGAAAACTACTGATATCAGTAATTTTTTTTAATCAGAGAACTCTTAATTCATCAGATATGTATTGAAACCCTGCTGCCTTTGCATTAATAATCAAATAAGTGACTATTATTATAGAAGCTACCTTTAAGGAATTAAATTTTAGTAGGGGACATAAAAGCATGGACCTGATAATAAGAGACAAAGACATACAAAGGGCTGTTGAGACCCACAGATGATCTATTTCTCTGACACGTGGCTAAGAGAATTCCATTCAGTTGAATTTTATATAAATAAACATAAAGCATTGGAGGGATGAAAGAATCAGCATCACTGAAGTCCAGTTGTTTACAGCAAACAATAGTGAGGGCAGTGTCAGGAGTGCAGCTAAGAAGTGAAAACTTTCTAGCTTAACCATCAGAGCACTAACTACCTGCCAAGTTCCATAAATGTTTTGACTATGTTAAAGTGCTAAATTTGTGGCCAGACCTAAGCTTCTACAACTAGTGTTTTAATAAATACTGTGGAGTTTCTGTTACAAAACAAAATGGACGCAATTTTTTTCCAAAGACAGCTGCCATACTTGAAAAGGAACAGAAAAATGATTTTACTTCCTTCCTACCCTAAAGCCTTAAGGCAAACTTGCTTTGCAAAAATTTTCTCCCAAGAGTTTGCAGCTGTTTCTGCCTTTCCTATTGTGCTTATGTTCAGCTCTGGCTGGGAACATTAGCTACAGCTCCAGCTGTTGGGTGCAAAGTGAATCAGGTATTTCACAGTGGTTATTTGATTAGGAAGAATTATATTGTTTAGCTAACAATATTATATGTATGACAGAGAAGATGTTTTTGACATGTTTCCAACATTAAAATGTGTGTAACTTATCTCATACAGGTGCAGCTATATCTGAATATCCTGATATGTGTACGTTTTGGAGTCTATTTATAGGATCGTATCAATGGAGACATAGATTTCAAAAACAGTTTTTATTTGTGTGGTCACTCTCTTGGGATGCTTTGAAGTAAAATAATATGATAAGCAATGTTTGAGATAGTATAAGTAAACAGTAAAAACACGCCTTACAAATTTTGAGGCGAAGGAGATGTCAGAAAGAAGGAGACTGGAAACATTACCGCAGTGTACAGGCCTAAATGGGAGAGAGAAGAGGGAGACTTACGAAGATCACAGGACTAATCACAGGGATTGCCCACGTTTCCCCTCTGAGCTCCTCATCTAATCTACATCCAAAAACAATGCTTGTTTGATTTTTTTTTTCTAACAGCACTTGTATAAGTCCTCTAATCTCTAGATGCAAGGCATTGCTATTAAAATGTTTGTGCATTATTGTCAGGCCAGGGAGAGTGAGTGGCTTAGGGGTAGATTGGAAGTGGGCAAACAAACACTTTCAAGATGATTCAAATTCAGCACCACAAACATTCATTGGGCAGCTACCTTGCCTGTATACAGTAGCCACTCTGTGGACACTATATCAGTGGCCTTAGACTCTGGCATCCTTCTTGCTTTTTTTCCTATTCTCTCCCTTCTCTCCAGTACCTTGATACTGTTACCACTCATCATCCCTTTTCCCTTGTGCCTCTTAACTGGACTAGTTAGATCTTGATCCAACTAGTTGGATCAAGAAATTTTAAGAGGTAGGAAACACCTGGAAAGACATTCTTTATTAGATCATTACTTAAGACCATTACTTAAAGGAATATAGTAGTAATTAGCAAACTTGAGAATAATCACTCACATCCAGTAAGAATCAATACATCTGTTGACCTCCTGCTTCAAATTCTTTGGGTTCCTGTGCCACCATCATGGTATACCAATGCTTTGCATTGGAAGACTGTGGCATACACTACATTTGGGATTACTTCTATTTTAGAGATTATAGACACAATTCATCAATTTATCAGTGATGTCAGTATCCAGCAGAGACACAGCCAAATGAATCTTGACCATCTCTTTTTACCTGTCTCCTTTATAAAATGCTCATATAAATATAACATCTGCCCTTATTTTAATGTGTATGTCATTGATTTTGTTAAATCCTTAAAGAATGGTAATGTTCATATATTTCTTTTAAAGAAAATCTATTCATGAGTTCTGAAATTTCTTTTGTACAAAAAAAGAACCGGTAGTAAATAATAATTTCAGAGTTATGTTCATAACTTAAGAATAAGCCCAGTTCATTTATATTCTCCTAAAATGAATGAATGCATTCTCTTAAAATACATATATTTGATAGTTATGCATAGAAATTTAAAACATTATAATATAATTCTTAACCATGGGAAAATGTTAAGCTTTCTGGATAGGGCCAGGGAGGATTGATAGCAAATAGAAACTCAGATTTCCTGTTTGGGTGCTTATTTGAAAGAGTACAGAGACATGAAAAATATATATATGTGTGTGCATGTATATATTTGTGCGCATACATGTGTATATGCATACGTATCAGTTGTTTTTTGAACCTTTATCAGTTTATAAATTCAAAACAGATACTCTGTATAGCCTGACTAATCCTACAGTCATTTATAATCTTGATTTTAAAGTAGTGGTTATTTTTAAATTTTTACAAATTTACTA